GGGCGGGGGACGGACGGACGAGCGGGCGGGCGCGCGCGCGGACGGACAGGCGGGCACGCGCTGTCCCGGGGAGGAATCACCGGGTCCGCTCTAGTTAAAGAGACAGTGCACTCTGACAGTAGGGCCCACTGGGCAGACACAGGGAAACCGCGCTGCGGACACACAGGGAAAACAGAACGCCGAAACGTGGGAAAGCTAGCGCTCCAGAAGAGCCGGGAAAGGTGGGGGCGGACCCCGGAGGGGACTGAGGCCGGAGCCGCGCACGTCGCCGCCGTCAGAGGCGCTCCTAGAAGGCGGGGCTTGTCGGCAGACCACGCCCAGGAGGCGGTCCGGTCAGCCCGGCCTTCAGGCGAGCGGGGCGAGCGGAGCGACCACGGTCTCTACGGAGCTGAGCTGCTCCTTCCAGCCCCACCTGAGGTTCCAGAATTCGCTTCGCAGTTGCCTCAGGTGATAGGGCCAAATGCAGGCGTCGCCGGCGTAGCTCGGGTGCTCTCTTCCCAGATAGCCTTCAAGTTTGAGTCCCCGACTGCCGCCTCAGCCCCAGTCAGCCCTCTCAGGCTCAGGTGTCTTCTTAGGCCGCAGCTGCCTTCTGAGGGCAGTAGACCCCTGCCCATCCAGCCTGGTCTGGGCATGTCCCTCCGCATCACAGGCTCACTACCCCACGGCCCCTCCTATGCCCTCCTGCTTATTGCCAAAGGTTTGGCTGTGGGCCCCAATCTACCTGCCAAAGGTCGCCTCAACCCATTCAGGCCCAAGCCACACCCTCGTGCCTTGGTCCTTCCCTCCTGGCATTTCCCACCACCAGGCTCCTCAGCCAGGGCATCATCCTTCAGATGCCCATCTACCCTCTTAGCTGTGTCTTGCTGCCAAGCTCTTGATGATCCCTTGGTCAACTGTTGGTTCTGTGTGACTGCCTCAATCTGCCCGGCCCCTTAGATCCAGGTCACCCACTCAGGCCTAACTATTGGAAGGCCTCATGCCCCTCAGTTCCCAATTGCACCCCTAGTTCTAGACCCCCTTCCAACTCAGGACATCCAGTTTAGACCTCACATGCCCTCTCAGCCCAACTCTATCCCATCTGCCACTTCAAGAACACTCCTTTTGTCTTTTATCTTCTGCAACCATTTTCTAGCTACCCTTACTGGTTTTGTGGCTTTTATTTTGGGTTTTGTTTTGTGACCAGCAGGGTCTCTCTTTGTAACCCATACCCCAGTCTGGATTTAAACTCTCAATCCTGAGTTAACTTCCTGAATACTGGAATCCCAGAATTGCAAAACTATGCCTAGCTTACCTTTGGCTACCCTTTGCTTCTGACACATTCAGATGGGTTCTCTCTGTCCTTTGTGCGGGTCTGCAGGCTTACTAACTTACCTAGTAGTTTATTGGTTCTGGTTCCCAGAGCTTTGGGCATGCAGGTAAGCTCTCTGCCGCTGAACCACATCTCTATTGCCTCCCTAGCTTTGTTTGTTTGTTTGTTTGTTTGTTTGTTTGTTTGTTTCAAGACAGGGTTTCTCTGTGGCTTTGGAGCCTGTCCTGGAACTAGCTCTTGTAGACCAGGTCGGTCTCGAACTCACAGAGATCCACCTGCCTCTGTCTCCTGAGTGCTGGGATTAAAGGCATGCGCCACCACCGCCTAGCCTCCCTAGCTTTCTTATTTGTTTTGTTTTGTACAAAGTCTTGCTGTTATAAACCAGGTTGGACTCAAAACTCATGTTGCTCCTTCATGAGCCTCCTGAGTGTTTAGGATTACAATCTGGATGGCTTTTATCTAATATTTCTTCATTTATTTTATTTTTCTGACTTTTTTGTAGTATTCTTTTAAAAAATAAGTATTTATTGTTGTAGTGTGTGTGTGTGTGTGTGTGTGTGTGTGTGTGTGTGTGTGTATGTG